ACACTTTACAATCTCAAAAAAGAAATGGGGTAGGAGAAGCTGCACTACTTTCAAATGTCTACACATTGCTGTGGAACTGTGTAAAAGCATAGCACTGAATACACAGGCTTTATAAATATTATTATTGACATATGGTGAAGAGGCAAAATCAGCTCTCACTCCCAATGTTACCAGTGGGATTAGAAAGTCAGAGATCCCCCTGGTATGTCTGCAACATCTTCTTCTCATTTATCCTGACAATTCAAACCCCGTTAGGTATTCAGGAAGAAGATTACAAAGAACCAGATGTAATTCACTCAAGCAGTAATTGTCCCGAGTGACTTTTTAAGTAACTTGCCTCAAGAAAAATTACCCAAGTCTTTCAGAAATAGGTAACCTAAAATTGTACCCAATAAAAGAAGAAATAATGCAATCTGATGAAAATGGAAGGAGGGTTATATCTCTATAGTCTATCAAGCTATATCAAGCCTATAGAGGCAGACACACCCTTGAGTAATCTCCTCCAGAGAGTCAGAGTTGCCATGGGCTAAGTATTCACAAGCATGGTCATATCAGAACATTTTCCAGTAAAGGTAACTTGCCTGTCTACTCAGGCCAAGGAGATGTCCTAGAGATAATTTGTCCTCTGACCATGCTCGTCTCTGGTGATGTCCATAGTGTCTCACCACTAGAGACAATCGGAGACCCAGACACTGCTGTGACCACAAGAGACAACTGCAGCCTGTTGGACTCCCCTGGAGCACCGCTCAGGCTACTGGGGGCTGGAGCTGGCATTGGTTCAATATGAGAATGAGAAAGCCACTGGGGGGGTAGCTGTCCTCAGCTAATGAATGGGTGGGTGAAGATGGAGATAAAGATGGGTACCAGGTGATACACACCCTGGCACCGCGTTGACAATGGCAACAGATCATCAAAGAAGGTAGATGCCCCACCACTGGAAAATTTCAAGGTGGAATAGACAGCTTTTCCTTTGGAGAAGCATCAGGAATACGTTTGGGCAAGACTGGCCTTTCACAGAATTGTCAGAGTTGGAAGGGACCTCTAGAGATCAGTCCAACTCCCCTGCCAAAGCAGGGTTGCCCAGAGCACGTTACTCAGGACTGCATCCAGGTGGGGCTTGAAGATCTCCAGAGAAGGGGACACCCTGGGCAGCCTCTTCCAGTGCTCCATCACCCTCACCGTAAAGAAGTTGTTCTTCATATATGAATGGAACTTCCTATGTTCCAGCTTGAGCCTGTTGCCCCTTGTTCTATTGCTGGAAACCACTGAAAAGAGTCCGGCTTCAACATCCTTCAACCCAATTTTTGAACAATTAAAAAACCCAACAATAAGAAACCAATAAAACCCAATCAAAAATCCCAAGAAAACTTCAAGAAAAAACAATTCAAAACCCCAAAATCCTCTCCTCACTTACTGGGTACTTTTGAGACTGCATGCGGACTCCTGTGTCCCAACTTGGTCTCCCCAGGGTGGGAAAGACTCTGACACATGCGGTGCAGGTCCAGCCCAGTGCCTTCAGGATGGTGAGAGGCTGAGGCACAGAGCACACAAGGACAGGCCGAGGGAACTGCTGCTGTGCAGCTGGGAGAAGAGAAGGCTCAGGGCTGGGGCTCACTGCTGATCTGCCAGAACACTGAAATTGCTTTCCTGCCCCAATACCACAGAGAAAATGATCCTGTTTAGCTCCTACATGCACTTCACTACTGCTAGCTTTGGTATCCAGAACATCAGAAGCCTTGCATAAAAAAAAAAAATTAGAAAGCTGGATTTCCCCCAACCTGCATCCCTACTCTCTTTGGTAGGATACAAGCCACGGGCTCATCTCTCCTACCTGCTTCCTGGGTCTTATTGATCAAAGAAGCATGAGAGCATTCAACTGTGGGTGTCCTTTGCCAATCTGCACGGAAACAGCATCACATCTCTAGTTCATGAGACATGTGAGAAAAAGGCTTCATCGTAAGGGTAGGAATAAAACATGGAAGGGAGCTTTGTTGTGACAACTTCTTCTACAGAAAAAAATAGCTCTGTGAGCTTCTCTGGCTTGAAAGTCTGTAACCCCAGAGTCAGCAGTGGGCCATTGTGTCAACTCTCTTTTTACACCTTACTTTCTAATCAACAGCACTACTTGCCTTGACCCCACCTGGAGCCATGGAGCAGAAGGGCAGGTAGCCAGCACAGGTTCCTGGAGCCCAGGGCTTGCAGGAAACCAGGGAACACACTCAACACATGGTCCTGGTGCACCTCAGGGACTTCATATCAAGTTAAAATCGCTGGGGCTTTTTGGTTTGGTTTTCGGGTTATTTTGTTTTGGTTTGGTTTTTTTTCCCTTTTCTTTTTATCTGCTACATCATCTCTGTCCCTCACAGAGCAAAAAAATCCAAACTATTCCATCACTTACTCATGTATTTTCATAGAATCATAGAATCATTCAGGTTGGAAAAGACCCTTGGGATCATCGAGTCCAACCGTCAACCCTACTCTACAAAGTTCTCCCCTACACCATATCCCCCAACACCACATCTAAAGGACTCTTAAACACATCCAGGGATGGTGACTCAACCACCTCCCTGGGCAGCCTGTCCCAGTCTCTGACCATTCTTTCTGTGAAGAACTGTTTCCTCATGTCCAGTCTAAACCTACCCTGTTGCAGCTTGAAGCCATTCCCTCTTGTTCTATCACTAATTAGATGTATCTGTGAGAAGAGACCAGCACCAACCTGTCTACAGTGTCCTTTCAAGTAGTTGTAGAGAGTGATGAGGTCTCCCCTCAGCCTACTCTTTCTGAAACTAAACAGTCCCAGCTCCTTCCATCACTCTTCATCAGATTTATTCTCCAGGGCCTTCACCAGCTTCGTTGCCCTCCTCTGTACCCATTCCAGCCCTGTCCTTCCAGTTCTCTCTTTTTTAACACTTGCCTGGCTTTATTGTGCTTAGAGACAGAATATGAAACCCCGTTCAGCCACATGACAACACGGGACAGAAACAAATAGCACTCATTCATTCACAGGGAGGGAGTTGCAGCTAAATTGCTAACAGACCCAGGAGCAGAGGCAGAACAAGGTGGCTCTGAACACAGCGGGGCTGCTGTGCTTGGGCAGCTCTTCCCACCCAGCCTCTTGGAGCACAACAGCCCCAGGTGAAAACCACCCTTCTTCACCGGTTTGAGCAGAAAAAATGGGACGCGTTTGCTCACCATTAGAATGCCATTCCCAGCACTCAGCATCGTAGGATTCCTACTGACTACAGCCCTCACTGCATTTTCACGGCAACGCGGGACAAAACGACACAGCACTCATTCATTCACAGGTGAGTGAGTTGCAGCTAAATTGCTAACAGACCCAGGAGCAGAGGCAGAACAAGGTGGCTCTGAACACAGCGGGGCTGCTGTGCTTGGGCAGCTCTTCCCACCCAGCCTCTTGGAGCACAACAGCCCCAGGTGAAAACCACCCTTCTTCACCGGTTTGAGCAGAAAAAATGGGACGCGTTTGCTCACCATTAGAATGCCATTCCCAGCACTCAGCATCGTAGGATTCCTACTGACTACAGCCCTCACTGCATTTTCATTAACTAATGGCCCTAAAAGCAGCAGGGACCAGTTGAGCATCTCACTGCAGATTTTGAGTATGCATCTGTATGAGCTGCAAATTCAACCTAACTCCTAACACCAGAAGCAACTGGCAGAACGTCAATCAGAATCGGGCATCTAGATCAGGTCTTGAGACATACAGGGCCTTACTCCTCCCAAATATGTCTTTAGGAACCACTGCAACTCACAGGTGCAGTCCATGTTCAACCAGGAGACTCGGGACATATTTCCAGGAGGCACGGCAGCACGTTGCTCCTCAGGAAAGGCCACCCAGGTCCGGCCTCAGAACTGAAAGCAACCTTACCGTGGCAGCTAAGGGGCTGCAGAAAGGCACACTATATGCACAATCCCAAGTGTAAGCAGCTCTACAGTTGTTGAAACTGGCCTAAAAGACACAGCAAGAGCTGTGCTTCACCTTGTTAGCTTGCACCTCTCTGTCCTGTGCTCCATCACACACTACACACTGGTGGCAGCGTCGCTCCGTGTTTCTCACTGAGCTGCACAGAAAAAAGTGTCATCCACATATGGTGGGAGACACAAGTATTCACCACACGTGATGTTGACTGCCAATTTTTATGTTGATTTTGTATAGGTCATCTAAGGTACTCATGGCACTAAGCTGGGCCAAGTCACATGCAACTGTGGGTTTCCCTCATTGTTTTCTTCAACAGCTCCCAGTTACACAGCTTGGAACCACTGGGGAGCATTCAAGAAGGCAGAAGCTGCAGGAAGAGCCTCAAACAACTTTCTGAGCCACCAGCTGAATGATAACTGCAATCAGTGGTCGCCACTCTGGAATCTGCCTGCCCTCAATTTCTCTAGTGCATCTTCAAACCTACTTCAGTTGTTTGTCTTGACAGACACTGTGGACATACATTGTGAGCTCAGTATTTTTGTTTAAGCCTTCTATCCATTCCTGTCACTGCTGTCAGACTTTCACTGTCTGTAGGCTTCTGTGTAAGCCAGTTCAGCTGGTTTTGCTGTAGAGACTGGAGATGAGCATCTCCAGAGCATGGCTCTTGTCATCTTCAGATAAGTGGAATGAATTGTCCTTTGGAGGTACTGCCTTACTCCCCTAAGTAACAGGAAAATTTAGACAATTTGTTTTTTCACATTAGGTGAAATCCAACAAAAGTGACTTGCAGAACCACCTAGGAGATCTGTGGCAGAGTTAAAAAGTAAGCTTGGGTTTCTCAGTCATCCTCTTTTAGATCACTGTGAAAAGAGCTATCCATATCTTCACCTACCTTCTATTTCTAAATAGTCCTAAATCTCTACTTTCATTAGGACAGCCATATCAAATGAAATTTGTCTACAGTACAAACAGTTTCTACAGTGGATAATCATAATCTCCTTAATGAGCCAAAACTGCTGTAATCTCATTAGGTATTCAGGATGCCAATTCCTGTACTTACCGCTATGCCTGTCTTGAAAAGGAGGTAATGGACCGTCTGTGTCACATCTGCCGCGTGCATTAGGTTGTGGTAAGGATTTTTGTGTTTGCTGTAGCCAACCTCCAGAGCTTCCACAAAGGACACCAGGGCAGAAATGGGGATCTGAGGAAAGCAGCACAGAATCAGTAACAAAATAATCACCTTTAATGGCCAGCATTTGGAGGGGAGCATTTTGATAACTGGTCCCAAAGAGCAGTTTGTACTTCACAAATAAACAGCATGCTAAAACATCTGAAACAGTCACTCGAGAGGGAGTGAATCCAGGTTACTTCCTCCAACTGGTTTCCCCCTCCCTAATTACATTACGTATGTACATTTCCTGCACACAAACACACACAAGTAAACATACTACAAAATGCCATCTGGAAGACACATGCAGTATGAAAAGTAACAGAGAGCACTTGATTGAATATTTCTCCAGGAGAAATATTTCTAACTGGGCCACAAGGGTCTCTCTGTTACCCTCACAACCTACTGGAATACTATGTGCTTTACTATTCACATTCATGATTTTCTAATGAAACATATCATATAGCAAGTCTGAGACCCTCTACTAAGAGAAGTATCATTTATCAGACCTCTGGCTTTTCACAGCAAAATCCAGCCTGCCCATCCTATGGGTTGCCATGCTTTTCCAACTCAAAGAGTAGACCTGCACACACTTGAGAAAATGCAATTCAGGGGGTTTCTAGAGTGGAGACTACACAGCTGGTGTCAGCTGCAACATATGCAACTGGCAACATGGATTCTCCAGTTTCATCTGCTCAAATGGCAAATACCCTAAATGCTTGTATTCCCATAGTTAGAGGAGCACTGTTGTTCTCCTTGTGGGTACGTATCAGGGAAGGATGCAGTTCAGACCAGTTACCTTCTTCAAACATTTCTCATCAGGCATGGGCAGTTCCTGAAGAAGGACAGGAGCCAGAGATCTTAAACCCTTTCCAGCCAAAGTGAGTGGGAACCCCGGGGAGTGGAAGTGTCATTGGAGAAAGGGACAGAAGATTATTTAGGTGTGGACAATGGTCAAGATCAGAGAGCAAAGTTTCTGCCATCCAAATTTAAGCCGGTTAAAAGCTGGAGGAAAAGATACATCGCATTTGTATCTGCAAACCTCTGTAACAAACATAGGACAGTTTGGGTTGGAAAGGACTTTTAAAGGTCACCTAGTCGAATGACCTCTGCAACTAGCAGGGACATCTTCAACTAGATCAGGGTGCTCAGAAGCCCGTCCAACCTCACCTGGAACGTTTACAGGGATGGGGCATCTACCACCTCTCTGGGCAACGTGTTCCAGTCTTTTAACACGCTCATTGAAAAAAAAATCTTCCTTGTATCTAGTCTCTTTCAGTTTAAAACCATTACCCTTGTTCTACTGCAGCAGACCCTACTAAGAAATTTGTCCCAATCTTTCTTATAAGCTCCTTTTAAGTACTGAAAGGCTGCAATAAGGTCTCCCCTTCTCCAGGCTGAATAATGCCAACTCTCTCAGCCTGTCTTCATAGGAGAGGTGCTCCAGCTCTCTGATCATCTTTGTGGCCCTCTGCTGGACCTGCTCCAACAGGTCCATGTCTTTCCTCTGCTGAGGGATCCAGAACTGGATGCAGTGCTCCAGGTGAGGTCTCACCAGCGCAGAGAAGAGGGGAAGAATCACCTCCCTCAACCTGCTGGCCGTGCTCCTTTTGATGAATTTGAATTTTACTTCAGGCTCTCCTTTTTCACTTGCATACTTGAGAGTCCTATGAATCTCAGGAGAATGACACCATCATTCCCACAGGATCAAATGTAGTATTTCCCATGGATGTCATGGGGAAGCCTGTTTGGGAACCTGCCTACTTCACGGTGTCCCATTACAAGTAAAAGTACTACTTAAATAACATTTAGTCTTGTTTACTGGGGAAAGTACAGCATCCAAAAAGCCTTCAAATAGAGCTAAAATTGCATTTGGATTGGAACAAAGCAGGATGAGAGGGAAGCTGAACAAAACGTGAGATGGAAGAAGAGACCATCTTCTAACTACTGACCTTGAAACGGTTGATCAGATCATAACGTGTGAGAAGTTCATAGAAAATGAATTTCAGTGCATGATCCCCACTGGCATCATTTAGTGCAAACACGTCAAAGGACCACTTGTCTACATTCTGCAAGAGTAGGTAGAAAAGGCAGTTAATAGGGTCATCCCTGTTACAATGACAGTTCAATTTCTATCACTTTACATCTACAAATAGAGGATTACGGTGGTGATTGTAAGTCTATAGCTTCTTTTTTTTTAACTTCTTCAAGTCCATTTCACCAATGCAGAGTCTAATTTACTCATCAGTATTGTATTACTTGTATTTAAAAAGCTGTTTTTTTCTTGTCCCTATGGAGTTCTTTCAACTTTTGATTGTGAGCAAAACCCTCCAATGCTTCACTTATGCTTAAAACAGAGAAAGATTTTTTGCACTAAAAAAATACACAGGCACCTGTGGTCATATATTTACCACTTACTGTTCAATCAACCAAAATAAAAACTAACTAGACGAACTATCTTGCTAGACCCAAAGAGCACCTTAGTTCCTTCTGATTTTGTTATTAACTCTCAGTTGTGATTATTGCATCTTAAATTGCCCAAAGACAGCATGACCCTAATTTTCCTCTTTTTTTTTTGCAGATAAGTGAGTCCACTAGGGCTTTCAGAAAATTACAGAGCAGAAGTGCATTAAGTTACATTAAGTGCTAACAATGATATAAAAAAACAACCTTTATAACAAAAGTGTAAATATCTAATTCCAGTTGGAAATGTTCCAGTCAGCTGTAAATGATATATTAATGCTGCAGCGTGGTCAGTAAAGAAATCGAAGTTCACTTCCAAGCTCATAAAGCTAAAGTATAAGGTATAAACCTTCTTACAGAAGGTTGAGTTCAAATCTCAACTCTAGAGAGGGCCATGGGAGTTGACAGCACTCCTTATCTAGCAAGATCAAGGTCTTTGATCTCAGAATAGGATGTTCCTGAAACCCTCTGAACCTTTCTCTCCTCCTCCTAGCAACAAAGAGGAAAGGTGTGGAAGGAGTTGGAGCTAGAAGAATGACATACAGATCAATCACACAGCTGCATCTGGCACAGGACCAGCTCTCAATCTCTCGTGCCTGTTGAGAACTTTGATGCATTTCCTACAGGGATTTATCCAAATTATTCTCCTTAAACCATATAATAACAACTGATGCCTGTTGCAGATTACATCCCATTTCCTTGTGGCACTTTTCACCAAAAAAGAGAGAAGACTACGTTTTCACATGCACAGAGGCTCTCAGTGCAAGAAAAGGGTGTTGGCTAGATGTACTGTTGGATACTGTTAGGGATTAGAGTCCATCCAAAAAACCGCCATATTTTTTAGCAATACTAAAAATGCTAAATTACAATCATCTACTGGGCTCTTAAAGCCCAGTCCACCCTTGTGGTTTGTTGTCATGGTCATGTCCCACGTAAGGACTTCAAGTAAAACGCAAAGGACATGATCTTTAAACACCTTGTGGTCAGTCACCCATACATCAGCAAAGCTACGGGACTTCTTATCTTCTGAACAAGACTAGCATTTTGGTTAGTATTTGGTATACAGTACCAATATTTTGGTAATGGCTCTCTCCAGCGTGGGCTGATGCTGACAACCCTGCTACTTGCACAGTGTTGATGACTCAGAGCAGAGTATGTGTCTTGTGGAAGTATAGACAACAGAGAGGGTAATTAGTGAGTGAATATCAAGGACACTGAAAATTCAGCTCTGCTTTCACCTGCCCCAGTAAATTGCTTGAAGAGCCTTTGATTTTACAAGCTGTGTGGAGCCCACACATTGAAGGTCAAGCTTTTCCAGACATGACTTGTGGCCCAAGTCACAGAAAAGCAATCATAAATTGCAGCTTTTTGACACTTTCAGTAGGTGTTGAAGAGGAAAAACAACAAAGAGAGGAAAAAGTTCCACCAAGAAAATATGTTTTGAAGCCCTTGAACAAACTTAGAAAACGGGCAAGAAAAGTAATACCCAAAGCATTCAGTCTGTCAATTTTAAGTATTTTTCTGGTTTTTTAGTGGTTTTTTTTGTGCGTGTGCAATCACTTATCTCATTCAATGAAGCAAATTAATTTAACACTTGCACATATATAATAATTTACTTTTGGTTTCTTTGGCATTGAAAATAATGTCTCGACTATGGTGAAATTTAATTCACCATAAGGCAATCTTATATTGTAGAAATAAAAGGGTTTTGTCCCTTTATATATTTTTTCTGTAGTTAATGTTGTGCTCTTGCAGCAGATAAATTCTACCAAATTATGAAATTGCAGAATAGTACATCAGAACTGTTCTTTTGCACAAAATAATGGTTAACCACATAGACAATAAGTTTCACAGTAGAGTTATTTAGATTGTACTGAGAGAGAAATCCCTCCTTGCTCTTGTCAAGTCAACAGTTTTGCTATCGACTATAATGGGAGCAGAACTTTACCCTGAATAACTAGGGGCAAAAATCCTCTTAAGAGCAGCATGAAAGTATCACAGATGGCTTAGAGGCTTGCAGCAACACCAGTTGTGCTTTGAAAATTAGTGGATTTTACGATCTTAAAAAAAAACCCCAAACATTAACACAGAAGTGACCCCTGTATTAGGGAGAGATCTAAAGGTAGGCAGAACTTCAGAGATGTCTTGAGATGGAGGAGAAAACCTGTCTCTGGTCTGGAAGGAGAGCAGGAGAAGTGAGGGATGGGAAACTTTTTGTGCTACACAAGTCTCTAGGTCACTGGCCCTGTAGCCTCATCTGAAGTGTCATAAGCTGTTCTAGTGCCACATTCCCAATGTGGTGTTAACTGCAAATGGATCCAAAGAGACTTAATTCTCAGTCCTGTGTCCTTATTATTTGGCCATTGCTCCACTGCTTGGGGGAACCTAGAGATGAAGTGAAACACCAGTTCTTCCCAAATGCTCTTTCTGTCTGTCCTTAACCTCAGAGACTTGATTTGTTTTATAAGCCAACAAGCAGATTCAGGGATAGGTATAATTCTGCTCAACATTACTGGATGGCCTGATATTTTTGTAGCCACAGACAAGCAGAAGGCTATGCCACAGACACTGTAAGCGACTAGAAGTTCTGTGTTCACTACCTGTATATTAGCTAGCCCAGAAAATATTGCTGTGACAACACAGGCATCAGAAAAGGCTGAAAAACTCACTTCTAAAGTGGGTACCACTTCAGCAGCTAGTTAATGTGAAATTCTGTCTCTAGATCTACACTGCTGAACAGTGGATCACCAGAGCTTACTGGGTAAATTAACATACTTATTCAAGCCTGTCTGTATGAATGCTATGTATGAGCACCATTCAAATGAGAGACAAGGCTAGTTGCCCCTTTTGGGGCAACAGGTCTTACATGATCACACCCATGTGATGCAAAAAGGCAACAGGCTACTGCAGTAGAAAAATCAGTATCCAATATATAGGCATAGCGAGAGATGCTGTGCAATCAGTTCAAAAAATTGCCTAACTTCTCAGTCACTGAAAAACTGAGAAGAGATTATACACTAGGACTTGCACTGCTACCACTCCACCTGCATTTTTTGCAGAAGTTGCAGTATTTCATTGCTTTACAAAAACCAACCTCATTTTGCCAAGCTGATTCCACAGCTTTGGGTTACCCAGTGCAGATGTCCTGTTGGCCATGGCAACAAAAAGCAGAGCACATGGTTCAAAAATAAGTCAGTTTTGACTCCACGTCACTTCAATCCTTGTCCTGATTACCATGATGCTGAAGGGAATGTTGATTATGGCAATCCAGAACAGCTGAAGAGATGTGTGTGGTACACTCCTACACTCTTTTCCATCCTTAAACCGTCATCTCAGTTTGCAGAGCACACCAAGCAGTCAGCTAGCTGTAAGGTTTTTTTACTTGGCTTTCCTGGACTGAAGCAGGCAACAAAATGAACCATTTTTCAGTAAGGAGATGGGACTGAGAAATTTAAGATGAAGTATTATTTCAAAGACAGAAGACTTCTTCAAAATAAGTAACTCCCACTTCTACCACATCCATTACGAACCCCAAGGCCATCCAGGCAAAGACATGTTCTCAAAAATCGTTTTGGAAAAAAATACAACCTAGAGTGCACAGTGGCCAAGTGGGTGGTATTTCACCCTGACCAAAATTAGTCAATGCCTTTGTTGTAATTGATGCATTTTAACTTACTCTAGAAGGGTCAGTTCTCTTTATGACCCTTAGTCACCTACAAACATAGAAAGAGGAGAGGGATTTTGTAAGGTTTAAGTCAGCTGAGAGTAGCTGTTGCATCTTGGATTGTCTTGTTACTGCTGAGAATGTCAGGAGAAAAGGTGCCATTATGGACATCTTCCCTCATAAGCTGGCTATTCGGTGTAGGTCTAAAAGAACAAAGACTTTAGATCCCATTTGCAGGAATGAAGTTAACAATTGTCAACATGCAGTGGGAAAAAGGTGTGGATGGATGCTTTGATTCTGTGCATTAAAGCCATGCTTGATCATCCTTCTTGCATTCAAAGGACCTTCTGCAGTTCCTCCACATCTTTCAATGAGTTGTGCTATCCAAACCAAAAAGAATTCACTAACTTAACTGTAGGTCTTATCAGTGTGGAGTAGAGGAGAAGGATTACTTCATGAGCTTTACACATAATGTCCCTGTGTATTGTCCCACTGTGTCACTATTTTTCACTGTTGCATGTCATGGTGTAACCACATGCAACATGTAATCTGCAAAACTGCTGTATAGGTAGTTGGTTACTAACTTGTGTTTGTAGTCTAGATAATTCCTGCTATAGTCAAGAACCTCGCAATTGTTCCATAGAACCTTATTTTTTTCTGACTACTTATGACTAATCAGTTTTCCTCTGAAACCTCAGAACTCATAAAAGGGTCATTATTCCTAAAGCGATTGTCACATTGAAGACCTGGAGCTGAGCAATGCAAGAAATTCCCTTCTCTCACAGCAACTGATCCTTTTCCTTCTCCATCCCTCTTGATCAGTGTCCCTGTGGGAGGTTTTGATTGATTCCATCATGTTACTAAGTCCTCAGTTTAGTTACCATAATCTAGAACAGAGCTGTAACCTTCATAACCTGGAGACAGCCACAGACTTGAACTCTATTTTTTCCTTTATTGAAAGGATATTCCCTTAGACCAGTAAAAGATAAATGTATGTGAACTAAAACGTCAGAGGGACGGAAAGAGCAAGTACTAAGACCCCCCTAAACGTCACAGGGACGGAAAGAGCAAGTACTAAGACCCCCTTACCAAGTCAAGTATCACAGTGTTATCTTGATGCTTTATACAGAACCCCCCCAACACTTTTTATTTGGATTACCTTTAGCACTCCAATTACAGCTGGTGGGTAGCTCAAACCGACCATATTTGAAGTCCGTCTGTACATTCTACCAAGATAAAACAGACAAGGCAACACATAAATAGAATTAAAGAAAAAAACCCCAAACACACAAAAACCATAAAGCAACAGACCATTACAGGAGACCTTATTTACACCCAGGAAATGCTGACTGCAATTTGTCTTTTTTTAATTCCTTCTTGTTCCTAAATTGCACAATATTCTCTATACCATTCTTATTGTATAGACTAACCTGAGATTATACACTCTCCAGTATCTCATAGCTTGGTTACCTGGCAGGACATTACAAAGAATCTGCCAAAATCAGGTCTTCATCAGAGCCAAAGGCTATACTGAAATAGACAAGATGTTCCCCATTTTCTACTGCATATGACCATGCTGCTCTTTCAGATCCCTTAGTCCTTGCTGATCCACATGCAAGCTAATTCTGAATTTACTTCACAAATCATTTGTTGTCTACAATGAATTAGCATAGCTGTTACTTTCGCCTGCATTTTTTTTAAATTGGTATAAAATCTTTTGAGTGTTTGCTGTGTGTGTGTTTGAGGGAGACAGAGAGACAGAGTAAGGCAATAATCAACATTTGCAACCACACTAAACAAAGCACTGAAGTATGTACTGGATTTTTAACTTGTTTTCAGGCCATGCTGTGTTTAAAAGGCTTGGTGAATGCAGAAACACTAAAATGCCTTTCTGTAGGTCACCCTTATTTGCACTTTAGCAATGTGGGACTAAAAGGAGATGATGGAAAGCTCTTTTCTCCTGTCTGAAATGGTCCCACATAAAGTCTACCTTCACTTCCCTTTTTCTTTGCCATGTTCTACACTCAGATCTGAAAAAAATCAGCCCCTTTGGAGAATTAAATTCACTCATTCCCTAAATTACAGAATTTCTTACCCCCCTCCTCCCTCCAGTCAGGAGCCTCATAGCCTTCTGTTAAGTGACAATTATGGCAGAGTCCCTCTCCTTTAGCCACAGCCCTCCTCTGGTGCCATATCACATCTGAACACTTCCTCCTTTGGGCCACAGATTCAGATCAGTTGGAAAACAGCCTCCTGCAGCTCCTTTACTTCCTTGCTGAGCAAGTCCCTCACCAAGAGTGAGGTTTAATTCACAAATAGCCTGTCAAACCTGGAAAAATCTGTTGCAAGGAGAAATGACAGGTTTAGTCCTATCACAGTTTGCTGCCACTTTTAAAACATGTTCAGTAACTTTACTACACAGATAAAAAATTGGCTATAGACATGCTGGAGGAGGCTTCTGTGTGTCTGTGTGGCTGGTGGTCCACTGATACATCCACCTTCCTGCACAGAGGGCAGGTAGGCTGTCACTGCCGCTCTGATGAACAGTGAAAAGTGCTCTGCTCTTCAATGCCAGACTTGAGTTTTGCTGTACAGAGCTGGGACCTGCTGTCTTTCAAGCTGCCTAAAGTCTGCTAAAAGTTTCACATGTGCCAGCCCTCCTTCTAGCTTGAAGGAAGAATGTCAGCGAAGAGTGGTTACTCGATAAGAAAAGGTGCAATTGGAAGTGAGTCCAAATTGAAATGTTTTAAAGGGTTCAGAGAGAGAAATCCATTTTAGCAGTGGGTTCTGATGCAAATCACAACAGAGAAGACTGCGAGGATTCAATGGGTTTTTTGAAATCCTCCCTGAGCTCCAAAGTTTTCACATCAGTTTTGGTCTATGGTTCATTCCAGTAATACTGATACAGGATTTTCTTCTAGCAGTTATGATGAACTTAGCAGGTCTTCATAAGAAATAATAGACTACAGAGGAATACAGAGGCAACAGAAGGCTTGACATGGGGTGAATAAATCTTAAAAACTGTCACTCTTGACCTAGGGCAGAGGTGCATATTCTCTGTCAAAATCATTCCAAGGGCTATTACATCTGTATTAATGTAAGAACAGATCAGTATGTGCTGTTTCAGGTTGCAATATATTACTTCATCCCAGGTTTCAAGCTGCTATTCAGATCCATGGGGAAACATCTTTAGAAGCATATTAAGGTATTCTTCATACAATACTACAGGATCAATCTGTGGTATGTGGGCAGCTACTAGAACAAAGTAATTACATGTCCCTTTACCTTTCCACAAATATCCCAGCTTGTACTGCATGGACAATACTCCTGAACCGGGGCTTTTCCTCCGTCCTTTTGAGCATCATCCCCATTTGCCGCGTGAAGGTAGAAGCCAACCAGTCCCGGACCTCCGAGGGCACAGAGTCAGACTGGATGTCACTGAGTTCATCTTCTGTGTCCAGTAAACGCCTGGGGGGGTGAGGGGGAAAGATGGGTAAACAGACTCCCTTAGAGAGCGTTGCAACATTATTAACAAAAGCAGAAACTCACAGGTATTCTAGTTAAAGCAGTTGTTAAAAGTCTGGTTTGTCAGCCCCCATGGAACACAATTATACAAGTCTTCAGTAGATGGTTTATTCTTCTGTTTAGTTAAATGTTAGATTGTGAAACTCACTACCAGGCCAACAAGCAAGCAGTATCAGCCTTCTGAAGCACAACTATGTAATCATCCACTGACTTCTCATCTTCAGCTCGTCAACATTCCTGACCTTTCTGCCCTTCAGAGCTCATTTACAGCCATGTCTAACTTCCCAGTTAGTATCATACAGTCCTCTCCTTTCCCATTCTGGTCACCTGAGGTGACTCTACAAGTGCATTTAGCACTGAGGAATGACATATAACAGAGCAGGAAACTCCTCTGCAACATCTTACCAATCTACCTCTATCATGACCTGGAACAAAATTTTTTTCATTTCAAAGACTTGATACAAGTGAAAATATTTAACACTATTCAAAAAGAATAGAGGAATAGGAATTTAGAAACCTTCAGAAAAAGTGGGACACAATCATTATGAAAACATTTCTCCAAGAGAATGTATATTAAATTTATGATTACTTTTGATCTCTTCCCCTTCCCCAGGAAACGTAAGCAGATTTCAGACCGAGGACTGAAGGTGTGCTCTACATAGACTACGATACTTTAATGATTATAAACATATTGTCTGTGAGTAATAAATCTTGGCTAAAACAAACTTCCAAACTGACATATAAATTACAATTTTATGTCATTGGTACTAGATATAAGAAGACTGCTGATGTCTGTAATTAACTCACCTGGTTTCATCAATGTATACTGACTCAAGAACAGTGGCAGCATATTCCAAATTCTTCTTTAGGTCTACAACTGAAGCTTCCCCCCTCTCTAACTGCTTTACCAAAGACCGTAACCTAGAAAAAAAGGAAAACAGAAATCTGATTAGTACAAAGAGAAATAGGTTAGAGAGTAAGCGTCAGTTCAAAACTGGATCCAGCATGAGACCTAGCATACATGATTGGCAGGTGAAAACTTTTGCAAGTCTGCAAGGTTCTTTAAGTTGAATACAGGAAATCAACAAAAAACACTTTTCAACGTCAGTCACAATGATGCCAGGTAACCATCGCATTATACTTAGGCTTAAATAAGTCAGCGAGTTATGACTGTCCCCAAATTGTACTGAAATGTCAAAAATAGAAATCATTTGGAATTTAACACAGGAGCTAAGACAGGGCAATTTCATTCCAGCCATAAGCAAGGAAGCAACTTCTTAAGTAGCATCTGTTGACAAATGTCAGTCATTTATACACTTATTCAAAATTGTATCAGAGTATATTTAGAAATACTATTGCAGAAATACTATACAAGGTTAGGAAATGCTGTGATTTTCGCTAGATGAAGAGGTCACCCTTGGACTATCCCATCTATATTAAACAGAGCTCATGTAATTTTCTTTATCAGGTTATGATTATTATTGGAGGGATAACAGATTTTCTGAAAACAAAAATTTGTGCAGAAAATGCCTCCTGTGTCAAAATCATTTGTGCAATTTTCTTTTGTCTTTTCCTCCCCTTCACTCTACTTTCCATGGCAAATTAGAAAAACAAAATAGGAAAGAAAGAGGAGAAGAAAATATAAAAGTAGAAAGTAAAATGTAAATATTTTAAACAATCCAAGAATATAAATGCTTACAATTAGAAGAAGTAAATTATAATTTCTTTAAAAGGACAATGGAATATAGTTGACATGTTAAAACATTTTTGTGAATGTCTTAATCCTTGTTAAACAGCAGTTAAATAAACATTCAAATATACATTTAACAGTGTAGCAGAAATCACAAATTCTTAACTTGTCATATTCAAGATGCAAAAATATAGAGGTGTAGTCATGTCATCTAAACTTAGTCTCCTGTTTAGGAGGTTACTCTTCCTCAGCCTTTTCTATAGGCCATAGAGAAAAATGACCTTTTCCACAACATAATTCATAGCTAGAGCCTGCTCTCACTTTATTAATTGTATTGGGAGCCCAACCTCCTACAGCAGACAGGTACACGAAGTTCTTAAAATGAAGTGAGTACTGGTATTCCCTTGCTGTCTCAATGCTCCTGCAGCATTAGTTCTCTCAGGAGAAATCAAGACTCCACAGGACTGTGTTTCATGGCAGAGCTGAGGAGCAGTCAGTCTGCCTGTGTGCACTGCCCCAACAGCTCTTTCCATCTGGGTTTCCTCCCCCACATTTTCCCCACATAAATAGTGAGGTTGTGGAGAACAAAAATCATAAAAAATATTGATTTTTCCTCTGGCTAGGTCACATAAATGCCACTCTTACTCATCGTGGTAATGCTGACACAGCTACACATTTAGCTCTACAAAGAATGGACGAGAAGCTCAATTATGGACGAGAAGCTCAACATGAGCCGGCAGTGCACGCTGGCAGCCCAGAGAGCCAACCCTGTCCTGGGCTGCATCAGGAGAAGTGTGGCCAGCAGGGCCAGGGAGGGGATTCTGCCCCTCTGCTCTGCACTCGTGAGACCCCACCTGGAGCTCTGTGTCCAGCTCTGGAGTCCTCAGCACAGGAAGGCCATGGACCGGCTGGAACAGGTCCAGCGGAGGGCCACGGAGATGCTCAGAGGGATGGAGCACCTCTCCTATGAAGACAGGCTGAGGGAGCTGGGATTGTTCAGCCTGGAGAAGAGAAGGCTCCAGGGAGACCTTATAGCGGCCTTTCAATACCTGAAGGGTGCCCATAGAAGGGCTGGGGAGGGACTCCTTGCCAGGAAGGGTAATGATAGGACAAGGGGAAACGGTTTTAAATTGGAAGAAAAAGGATTCAGATTAGATCTCAGGAAGAAATTTTTTACTATGAGGGTGGTGAGACACTGGAACAGGTTGCCCAGGGAAGTTGTGGATGCCCCA